TTTTTGCATGTGTTTTACATTTAATCACGATTTAGGATGGTGATTCTTAATGACTTTCATGTTTTTGATGTTTGTTTGGTGGCGATGAATTGAAACCGCCAACCAGGAAGAGATGCCTTAGGCGTTTTAAGATGTTTCGGGTTGGAACTTGAGTGAAGTCTTTCGAACGCTTGAGAGCAGGTTGAGTTATTGCACCAGCCGGGTCTGCAATTTAGAGGTGGTCATCCATATAATCATCCAAGCATCATCAACCATGAATCATGATCATGTGCGGCTTGCTCACGAGCTTTTCTGTCTTGAATAGATGCGGTCCGCAACTAATTAGGTACCTCAACTCCCATGGGTCAACATGATGTAAGTCCTGTGCGTTTGTCTCAAAAACAATGTGACTCCAGGTGGGGATCTACAAGAACGGCAGAGTGGAGATTATCCCCAACGACCAAGGTCCGGAGATGCCCAGGAAGGAGGTTTGTTGGAGATATAAATGTTGAAGAAGATGATTATAGATGGTTGATAAATGTTGATAAGCAGAGATCATAAATGAATAATAACTTGATATTTCATTGGTTTGTGGGCAATGAATGGTGACCATATATCATGCTCAAAAAGCCAGATAGATTATGATGGATCTCTAATTTCCATCAGGACCTGGAATCACCAGTGACTCATGGTGATTGATGGAGGCTGGATGTCACCAAGCATCCATGAGGGCTGTAACAACTATTGACCATATACCAGATTAGTACCGCCTCAGCAATGCAGCAATACAGCAAAGTAGCGCCAGGTACTATGTATGAACCTCCGGCTTGACAGCAGACCGCTGCATGGAAGGGGACAGGGCGGAAGCGGAGAGAGGTTGCCCCAAGGGAGGTGCATGTGCACGCTAAGTGGAAGCCAGAGATAAAAGCATGAGACAAGTGAAGAAGAAGAAGAAGAGGAAGAAGAGGAAGAAGAGGAAGAAGAGGAAGAAGAAGAAGAGGAAGAAGAGGAAGAAGAGGAAGAAGAGGAAGAAGAGGAAGAAGAGGAAGAAGAGGAAGAAGAGGAAGAAGAGGAAGAAGATGAAGAAGAGGAAAAAGAGGAAGAAGAGGAAGAAGAGGAAGACGAGGAAGAAGAGGAAGGAGAGGAAGAAGAGGAAGAAGAGGAGGAAGAAGAGGAAGAAGCTGAGGAAGAAGCTGAGGAAGAAGAGGAAGAAGAGACGAAGACAGAGCCCGTAGATCAGAAGCAGCTTGAGTAGCAGTGATCACTTTAACAACCTGGCCGCATACCAAATGAGTACTGGTCGATCGGTTAGTACCCTGTAAGTCCTGCGACTACCAGCTACTTGGGGAAGAAGGTAGGAGTAGGAGTAGGAGTAGGAGCAGTAGTAGGAGGAGAAGTAATAGTAGTGGTAGTGGTAGTGGTAGTGGTAGGAGTAGTTGCAGGAGTAGGAGTGGGACTAGAAGGAGTAGTAGGAGTAGTAGTAGTAGTGGTGGTGGTGGTGGTAGTAGCAGTAGTTGTTCAACAGAAGAGTCTAGTTAAGCCCACAACAGAAGGTAGTAGCTGGAAGTAGTAGTAGTAGTAGTAATAGTAGTAGTAGTAGTAGTTAGTAGTAGTAGTAGTAGTAGTAGTAGTAATAGTAGTAGTAGTAGTAGTAATAGTAGTAGTAGTAGTAGTAGTCGTAGTCGTAGTAGTAGTTAGTAGTTAGTAGTCGTAGTAGTAGTTAGTAGTAGTAGTAGTCGTCGTCGTCGTCGTCGTCGTCGTGGTAGTGGTAGTGGTAGTGGTAGTCGTAGTGGTAGTGGTAGTGGTAGTGGTAGTGGTAGTGGTGGTAGTACTTTGTTGTACGTAGTTGTTGTTGTAGTTGTTGTTGTAGTAGTTGTAGTAGTCACAGATAGGAGTGGTACTAGTAGTAGCAGCAGCAGGAGTAGTAGTAGCAGCAGCAGTAGCAGTAGGTAGTAGGTAGTAAGTAGTAGGTAGTAAGTAGTAGGTAGTAGGATGTAGTAGGATCTAGTAGGATCTAGTAGGATCTAGTAGGATCTAGTAGGATGTAGCAGGATGTAGTAGGGAGTAGGTAGTAGGCGGCAGCAGGTGGTAGATGGTAGAAGGTAGAAAGTAGAAAGTAGATGATAGTAAATAGTAGCTATAGTAGATAGTACATAGCAAATAGTAGTAGATAGTAGGAATAATAGTAATAGTAATAAGGAGCAGTACCAGTTAGATTAGTACTAGTAGTGCTAGTAGCAAAAGTATTAATAGTAGGTAGGCAGATAGACGGATAGACAGATAGACAGACAGATAGGCAGATAGACAGATAGACAGACTGACAGACAGATAGACAGATAGATAGATATTTGATAGATAGATAAATAGATAGAGGGATAGAGAGATAGAGAGAGATAAAGTCAACATCTACCCACAGATTGGAGACCCCGGGGTTTCGATGATGCGAGGCAATCGCATCACCCCCAGCTATGTGGCCTTCACGGATGATGAGCGACTCATTGGCGAGGCGGCCAAGAACCAGGCGGGGACCGAATCGGTGGGAGGTGCAAGCCACCTAATAAAAAGCCGTGGAAATTGAAGGGATGCCATAGATCCTGGAAATCATACATATCAATACGAAAAAAAAAACATACCCTCTGGTAATTTCGCATGGCCGCGGAAATAACCCATTTAGAGCTATTTATTTTGATGATTTACTTATCAAAATTGTGACTTTCCACGGCAACATCTTGGTGGGTCATATAGGCTAGGTTCATTGCAGCCATTTCATCCACGGGCTGGCAGCTTCGCGGACCTGGCACGATGATCCCAATTGACTTTTATGTTTCGGCTCTGGATAGCTCTGCTCCAGTAAAACGTATTTTAAACAAATAAAATTTAATATATTTCATTTCTTTCCATCATCAGTAAGTTCATTGCGGTTCATTTAAACCATTATATATAGTATATATAAGGCCATTGCGGTTCATTAAAACCACATGCATATATATATATATATATATATGTATGCATCGTGTTTGGCAGGCACTGGGTGTGCATTATCATTAGGGTGAGTATGTAAGCTGATGAATCCATTTTGGCTCAAGTCTGAGCCAAACTGGCTTCATCATTCTTTCTTTTGCCAGGGTACCCACGCCACTTCTAGGGAGTTACCCTAGGGTTTGTGGTTTTCTCGTTCCTCTACTAGGGAGTTACCCTAGAGTACGGAGGTTACGAGGTGGGAGGTCACCCCCCGATGCCCAGGGCCTCTGTTGTCGTCCGGCCCGGGTGGAATGAGGCTGCCCACACCGATGCGGAGCTTCTTCATGCTGCTGCCTACTACGAGTTCAAGACGCACGTGGAGAGCTTGCTCCAACGGGGCATGGTGGCCCAGGCCACCCGACTGTGGGCGTCTGTGTGCCAAATTGATCATTTCCCCCCACATCCAATTGGGTTGGGGGTGCAGGGACTTCCCCCTTTCAGACGGTCACCTTGTATGGACGAAAACTGTAGGAGGTGCACTGAGTATCAGGGAGGATTCAAGTTCCCTTGGATCGGCACATGGAACAGCTCAGCTGTCTTGGCTCTGCCCGGGAGTGACCCGCGGCGTGCGTGGCAATCCTACTATGATCGCTTGGGTGAGGCGAGGCTGGATTTGCTACTCATCGAGCCGCTGCGGACTGATTGGACGTCTCGGGACTTTGCGCCGGACAACATCTTTGGTTTGGTCGCCTTCATCGAGCACAATGCCGATAGCATGGTCGACCTCACCGAACTGTGGGACGTGTGGCGGACCTGGCAATCCCCACAGCGTCGATGGAGGGATCCATCGTTGGTGCCCATCCCGGCTGACCTGGTTGCGTGGAGAGCACCACGGGCCAGAGCAGTCCGGTCGTTATGGGGCTGGCTTGGTGCCATGGAGGCTGGGGAGGAACCCTTGCCACCTTGCAGGGCTTGTGGACTGCCGACACCTGAGCTCTGTGAGAGGTGCTTCTCCTCCGTGTGCAGTACCTGTCCACCCTCCCAGTGTCCAGGATGTCACCCCGTCTTGCGTCGAGACCCATCTGCAGCAGCTGCGGCCTAGTGATGTTTGTTTGTTGCCTGATGATACTGAGGTTTGGCCTGCAGTTTCAGGCCCAGCCCGTACGCTCCGGACCTTGGCGGCGGTGGTGTCAGGCGTCGCCATGGCGTACCACCCAGGCGCCTATGCGATGCAAGCTGCTGGTGAAGCGCCGCCTTGCGCAGAGACGGCGATGGAGAGGGTGGCATCCACTCGTGTCGAACAGTGGCGAGCTCAATGGGGACTACATGATGAGACTGACTTTGCATATGCGTTTGCATCCTATGACAGCGCAGTGGCACATGGAGGACACCATGTGGCAGATGCGTGGTTGCAAGCGCGATCCAAGACTGTCGAAGCTGACCTCATCCCTCAAGCAGCTGCTGTGGCTGAGAGCTCGGGCTCCAGAGATCGGCCAACGACATGGCCTGCGCCCAAGGCATCCATGATGAAGAAGAGCAAGATGGTCCAAGCTCTTCGAGTTCGGCCAGGCCCAGACCAACCAGAGACGGTGCTGCTGCGAGCTACGGCACTGAGGAAGGCCTTTTCCCAGGCCAAGGTGATGCGTCCTCAAGGGGAGTTGACCCCGGAGAGGTACGCTCAGTGGCAGGACGCTCTGGATACTTTGTCGAAGCGGAAGGTCACAGAGGCCGAAGGAGCGACGGTGGTGAATGCCCTGAAGTCTTGGGCTGAGTTGCGGGCCTACATGGAGCAGAAGGACCGCTTGTTCCCACCGGATGCATTGGACCTCTATGGCTTCTTGCAGAATGGCACGTCGGGGCCTTACCGAGCATTTCACTCCTTGAAGTGGTTCTCCAAACATGGCCGTTTGCAATGGGACTTCAGTGATGTACCAGTCCCAGCTCGTAAGAATCCACCCAAACAGGCAAACCCAGAGCAGGCTGTTGCAGTTGAGCCCCCAATGATTGCAGCGCTTGAAGAGAAGATTCAATCGTTGTACGAAGCAGGGGACCCGCGTTGGAGGGGCTTACTGTCCAGCTGGCTGGTTACTTTTGGTGTCCTGCGGTACCAGCACATCATGCGTGCCAGGCCAGTTAAAGTGACCCCTAGCTCATTTCATGGCTACTGCACGAAGGGGAAGCAGAAGGCCAACAGGGGCGGGTTCTCCTTCAGCATTCCTGCCACATTCGTCAACGGATGGGCTTGGGGCTCGGCCCTATTCAGGGACTACAGCAGTCTGGACAAGGCGAAGCAAGCAACCTCAGGGTTATGCTTTGATGCGGAGGGCACCGCATACACCTTGAAGTTCGTCAACGAGCTCAATCGTGAGGTCTTTGAGCACTTGATCCAGAATACAGAGGATTTGTCTTCCTATTCTTGGCGGCGAGCAGCACCTACAGTGGGCACTTTGATGAAGCTGACGCCTCTCGAGCTATGCTCATTGGGGGACTGGGCAGATCGCTCCCAGATCCCAAAGGAGGCGACGATGCCTATGCACTACAGTGCAGCCAGGTATGAGTCTTCATTGAGGACCAAACACATTGTGCGGCTGGCTATGGAGAAGCTGCTTGCCCATGAGTCATGGGAGACTATCCCAACGGAGACCTACGCTGAGGCCCTGGAGTATGCGCGCCAGAATGTGGACAAGGTGCTGAAGCAGGAATCCAGGGTCATTTGGGCAGCCCCCTTGACGAAGGCTGAGATGCAGGCGCGCTTTCAGTTGTCGGAGGCGCTCAAACTCAAGGCCGCGGCCAAACGAGAAGAGGCACAATCCAAGGGTGGCCTGTCGGCGATGCCGGCATCTCTCAATGGGAAGGTGCTGAGCGCATTCATGAAGAATGGGGCACCCATTTGTGGAGCTTTTCAGACACGGTCTTGCCCCTTGGAGAAGGAAGTGTGCCCTGGTCGCCATGCATGCGCCATTCTGCGCAAAGCTGGACGAGTTTGCGGTGGAGGACATCCGGCATGTGAATGCCATGACAAGAAGTTCATCAAGGTGGAGGAGATGGCTGGCGAAGGGCCTGGTTCGGGATCTGCTAAGGCCAAGCCTACTAGCAAATCCACGGAGGAGCGACCTCCGGAGCCAGCTGCCCCTCCTAAGGCGTCAGTGAGGCGCCCACGGTCCCCACAAGGGCCGCCGTCTAAGGCACCGCCAGCGAAGAAGGCCAAAGCAGCCCCAGCTCCACCTCCGGCACCATTACCAGCCCTGGTGACCAGTTCGGAAGAAGAAGAAGTCGAAGTTGAGGAGGAGGACCTTCCGATTCCAGAGGCACTGGATACTCGAGGGCCCGACCAGAAGTTCGACAGGTTGGCGACAATCCACGGCAAGACAGCGGAGAGCCCGAGCCTTATTTATCAGAATCGGGCAGGGGGCAAGCTGTGGCTGAGTGGAATTCCAACCAGGAACACGGCACACCGCTTTCCGGAGGGAGTTACCCTTCAGATTGCGTGCATGGCCGAAGCCCCATCATCCAGAGGAGGAGTAGTGCTCACAGATGCCCTATTGAAACACCTGTGTGTGGCCCATGGTGGTTCCAGGAACAGGGACTTCGAAGAAGTTTGGCCTCTGCTGCGCAATACGATGTATGCAGGTGAGTCGGCCTTGATCCATTGCCTATCAGGGCGCCACCGAGCAGGTGTTGGGGGCTGTGTCTTCCGGGCGCTGCTAGCCCAGGAAAGCTGGGATGTTGCAGTGGCCTATGTGAAGAGCTGCAGGCGCTCGTTGGACATTCCGGGGATCATCAATGAATCGGGTATGAGGTCGTGGGTTGACACGACTCTCAGGACCAGCTCCCTCAGGAACCCGTTCCCAGAGCCCTGCGGCTACATTGCGACACTGCGATCAAAGCTCCATCTGGAGCTCAACAATGGCCAGACCCTCTGCTCCCACAAGCAATCTGCTGAGCGTGCAATCCGCTTGGTGAAGCCAATGACGACGCAGGACATGAGGGAGGCTATGGCTTGGGGCCGCGCTTTTTGTGATGGTTGTTTGGTGCGAGCAGCAGCGAGCTGGCATCCACGCTGACCTTGTCAGGAGTGGCGCACCAGAATTTATTTGAATAAGAGTCGCACAGGGCCGATTTTGGTAAGCTGATCGATGAGGTCCATAGCTTGCCCGTAGGCCAACATGCATTGAACCATTTGAGAGCTTGACTTCTGCGTGGAAAAAGGCCTTCTCAACATCCGGAAGGATGGATTCATGATAGGCTGTGCTAACTAGTCTTACCGGTATGTCATGAGGTGGCTTACACAGGTCTCTGTGAGGACAAGCTACATGATGGGTGCCGGGGATAGAGACTAGGAGACAGTCTGTCGTACCCCTGAGGAACAGGGGAGTTCTTGTCTTACCCCCCCAGTCACCTCCTTCTGTCCCTGGATGGCAGGTGATGTGCAGCATGCGGGAGGCATGTTCAGGGGTGAGCAGCTTTGAATGTTCAAGTCATACAAGGAGTTACCTTGAGAAAATGACTAGTGTTCGATTGGTTCCGGTGGAGAGTACCACCATTCAGGAAACCATGGAG